CGCTGGTGTCACGGCTGCGCTGAGCACCCCAGATACTGTGAACGAGCTGTTCCAAGCCCAGACGCAGTGTTTTCTCACCATATGCTCCACACGGAGTGTGTGGTCTTTCAGACAGGGATGGCGTGCAACTCGGAAGCCTGAGCACCCAGGCACGGAAAACCAGCTCAGAGGAGCCATGCCTCCCCAGCTGCCCCAGGTCTCCTGACTCCCAGGGGTCATTTCATGTGTGTGTCACCCATGTAGTCATCCAACAACCATAGGTAGTGATGGGGCAGCTACTCCACGGGAGGTACTGTGTCAGGCACTGGGGATACAAAGGTGAATGAAGCATTGCCTGCACTCTAGGGGCTGGGACCCGCCATGCTGGGCCTCTGGACAGGGCGTTGTTCTAAGCTCTGTAAACGAGAGATATCAAGGACTTTGGGAACAGAAAGGAGTTAGTGAAAATCTTTGTAATGGAATTAAAAAAAAAAACTTTTGCACACCCAGCACCTAAACATTTTTCTATTCAAGAGAACTCCCCAAATAGGTGAAGGTAGGTCCCTCTTCTGCTGGCAGGTGGACTGAACACCTGACACAAGTGTCCACCTTCCACATGGATGTCATTTACTTGGATCAAGGTGATCACTCAACACCTGCACCTGGGTGTGCAGCAGATCCCTCAGATGACGAAGCGAGACCTGGTACCTTCCCCCCGAAACCGGCCTCTTCCCCGTGTTCTCCAATCCGTTGGCTCGGGCCAACCATCTTGGAGTCGCTATGATGCCTCTCTGTCTTGCACACATATCACAGCCATCATAAAGGCCTGTCATCCCTACTTTTAAAATGCACCCGACTCTAAACACATCTTACCACTCAACACTGCACCGGAGTTGGCGCCACCACCATCTCCAACCCGCTGTCCTGAAATGCCCTCCTAGCAGGTCGCCTTCCTCTGTTCTTGCCACACTCTTGTCTGTTCTCAGCAAAGCAGTTACAGAGCATCTCTTCAAATGGAAATCATATCACAGTCTCCTGCTCAGTGTTCTTCAGTGGCTTCTCACCACACAGAGTGAGCGCCAGCATCTCCCCGGGGCCGGGGAGGCCCTCCACGATCAGTGTCCTGCCCACGCCAGGAATGTGTTTTCTCAGGTCCTTACCCTTCCTCACTCGCTCCTGCTGTGACTGGTCTTTCTGTTTCTCAGGCACGCCAGGATGTGAGAACACCGGCATGTCAAAACATCAGATCTAGTCAAGAAGGATTTCCTTAAAACCAGGAGAGAAAAGGAGAATTGGGGGTGAGAAGTCCTGAGCAAGTAGCTGGAGATAAGATCCAAAGGTGATTTGGGAAGAAGTTGGTCTGTCAGAGTAGGGTAGCGGCTCCTCTAGTTTTCCAGGAAGAGGGAGACTAGGAGAGGTACAGAAATAGTTGCCAGATCGAGGGCCTGGGTGAGAATTCATTCAGTGGGTATTTATTGAACACCTGCTGTTTGCCAGGAGCTGGTGTTAGCACTGGTACTGAATGACTTCTGCTTGGCCAGTGAGCTGAGAAACCAACATGCACACTCGGGGAGACCTTGAAAACCATCTTTAGGGTCTGATTCTGTTTCCTTCTCTGTAGAACTGGGATAGTAACGCTATCTGCTCTGTTGACTAAAATAGTTATTCATGTGATACTATAAAGACCTCTCGGTTTATCAGATGTGGAAGTTAGACTGGTAGCTCTGTGGAGGAACGGGCTCTGTTTTGTTGACTGGTATATTGCCGATTATGGAAGTGAGCATTTATGGAATGAATGAATGAATGAATGATTGTAACTGAGTCGAAATCACTTTTGGGATGGAGAACTGCTACTTCACAGATTTCGAGCAGCCTCTGGATACCTTCTTACTGGGGAAAAATCCCCGTCAACTCATGCCACAATAGTTATATCTTGGTCCAATGAGATGACCTTGTCATGTTTGCCCCAAATGCATAACTCTCCTAAATCACATGGTTTAATTCATCTGTAACGTGATGATCAAAGCCATTTAGGCTCCTCGGCTCCCCTCTACCTTCTCCAGCACCTCTTCTCATTCCCTCTGTGCGGAGCGCTGAGCGAGGCGCATCTGTCCTCTCCTCCACACACTGGCTTATGGGCTGGGTACCATTTCATCCCAGATGCTGCAGATCAAAGACTTGCGATCCACAAAGATCTTGACAGACCACAGACAGCACTCAGCCAAAGTGAAGGACATGAATTGGAAGGGGGCGTAATGTGAAAACAAGCACTGAGGTCTAGAAGTGACCTCGGAGGACAGATGAGAAGAGAAACCTAGCAGCTGCACTTGCACGAAAGAAAAGTGCGACAGAGTCAAAAGGCAAAAACACATCTGGACTAAACTCTGCGAAGGGCCGTGTAAGAATCTACCTTCAGGTGTTTACTGACTCAACATGTATTTGATATTTTCATAATAGGACATGAGTTTCATGCTAAGAGAGTATATCTCTCCAACTGAAATAGAAATGGAAAGTCGGGCCATTCCCTAATGCTGGCTGAGCTCGTAGTAGAAGCTCCTCGCTGGCCACAGCCCTCTGGTCAGGCAGTGGGTCTGGTGGCATTGGCTTGAGTCAGAATAACCTTTCTGCCTAGATGGGTTTGTTAGTTCTCATGCTGTTCAACTTTTTCATTGGGTCAAATGTAATTTTTTTTCCTTGTTCTTCTCTAAGAATTGCTGTGCCAATGACCTTGTGCACCTGGCTTAGGTTTTTAAAATTCTGGCATTACTGGGCACTATTCTAAGCGATTTGCCTGAGTTATCACATTAATCTTCATTACAATTCTATGAGGGAGGGACTCCTATTAACCCTGATTTTTAGATGAGAAAATTGAGGCTCAAAGTGGGTTACGCAACTTCATCGAGATGACGTGGGTAGTCAGAACTCTTAAATCATGCACATACAACTCCCAAAGGCTGTGCTCCTTAGCCCTGTCCCTTCAAATGAGACAATTAAGTCTAGTGCAAGCCAGACAGACACATAAACATGAAGACATTCAAAACACTTTGAAGAATACGTTGTTCCAAGATAAGCATGATTATAGCCAAGGCTATTGCTTTGATCAGAAAACTCCGTGCTGCCCAACCATTATGGCCTAACTGCACCAGCTCTGTGAATTTCTCTACCAGGCCATTCCTTTTGCTCAATAACGGTGCTTGCTGATGAAGCTCAAAACCCAGTAGCAATTAATTATTGACAGAGCATGTGAATTAGAGATAAAAGAAAAGTCATTCTTTCTCTACACCCGCGATAGTAAATAAATTTAATTATGGTAGGAGAAGCTAAGGGATCTTCATCTGTATTAAGGTTTATTAGCTGAGACATTTAAAAGCATGTCATTATAACAAAGAGGTCTTGTGTAATCCTGAATGTACCACTTGGGTGCAAGACTTGGAAGTGAATAGACTTAATAGAGTACATGGTGGCAGATGGCCTGCTGTACTGACAGGTATTGAACAGGTTTATTGTCAGTTAACTTTGGTCTACAGATGCCTATAGCAAATTGGGGTATAATAGGGTCCTGCACCTCCCCTTTTCACTGGTTAGCTTGCTACATTGGGGCTGGGGGACAAATAGCATCCAAGTCCTTTAGTATCTTAAAGCTGTCAATGAGACGAGGCCATCCTGAAGGTGAACATGGATGGAGCGGTGAATTTAGGATAGAAGCAACCTTGGGAAGGACAGCAAGAGCATGGCCCTGGTGTGGGGTCAGTCAGTGGCCCACTGGCAACCCTGGAACAAAGAAAGAAGGAATCCCATTCATAGAACCAAACTATGCTGGATGCTTTCACGCTATATGCCCTTTTATTCTCAGGTGAACTCGCGGTAAGTTTTAGGAAAAGATTCGGGGATGTGATTCAACTTGTTGAGGTCACAAAGTCTGTCCATTCTCCTTCTCTGAGCTCCAGTTTCCTTCTTTGCACAGTGAGGCCTTTGATGAGGTCAGGAGACAGCACTCTTTTTAAAAGACCCCAGAGTAAATATGTTTGGGTTTGTGTGTCACGTGGTCTCGTTGCAACTGCTCAAGCCTGCTGTGTGCCACATCAGCCAGGGACAGCACGTAAAGGAAAGAGTGTGGCTGTGTTCCAACGCAAGTTTATTTATGAGCATTGAAATGTGAATTTCATGTAATATTCATGCATCACAAAATGTTATTATTATTATTATTCTGGTTTTTCCCCGACCATTTAAAGATTTAAAAATCATTCTTAGCTGCAGGCATTACAAAAACAGAAGGCTGGCAGTAGTTTGCCAACCCCTGGACTAGATAATCTTTGAGGTTTTGTTGAGCACAAACATTTTCTGAAAGCCGCTACAACAATAATAATAACTTTGATGTATTAAGCTCCTACATGTGCCGGAGTCTATGCTAAATGCTCTACAGACATTATCTCCCTTAATCCTCATACTGCAGTGGGAAGTAGGTGCCATTATTATCTCCATTTCTGAGATTATAAAACTAATACATAGAGAAATTAAGAGTATATTTAGCTTAAATATAACTGGTAAGAAATAGAGCAGCAGTTTAAGCCCAGGTGTATAAGGCTCCCAGCCATGAACCCATGAGCCTTATGCTGCCTTTTCTGAGGTTTCTACAATCAGAGCCCTAGAGGGGAGGATCGTTAAAAAGAACCGCAAGTGTTTATCCACGAATTTTATGTGGTAGCTCCCCATGAGCTATTTACATCACACGTTTCGTGCAAAATTAAAATGCTTAAATATAACTGGTAAGAAATAGAGCAGCAGTTTAAGCCCAGGTGTATAAGGCTCCCAGCCATGAACCCATGAGCCTTAGGCTGCCTTTTCTGAGGTTTCTACAATCAGAACCCTAGAGGGGAGGACAGTTAAAAAGAACCGCAAGTGTTTATCCACGAATTTTATGTGGTAACTCCCCATGAGCTGTTTACATCACACGTTTCGTGCAAACTTTAAATATTTCTGGATAGGCATGACCACTCTTTCTCCTTTTCTCCCTCTTCCAGGAATGTGATGCCTAAGACCGTGGACGGGCAGATAACCATGGAGAAGACGCCGAGTTACTTTGTGACAAATGAGGCCCCCAAGCGCATCCACTCCATGGCCAAGGACATCAAACTGATCGTGGTGGTGAGAAACCCTGTGACCAGGGCCATCTCTGACTACACCCAGACCCTGTCCAAGAAGCCCGAGATCCCCACCTTCGAGGTGTTGGCCTTCAAAAACCGGACCCTGGGGCTGATCGATGCCTCCTGGAGTGCCATTCGCATAGGGCTGTACGCGCTGCACCTGGAGAACTGGCTGCAGTTCTTCCCCCTCTCCCAGATCCTCTTCGTCAGCGGGGAGCGGCTCATCGTGGACCCCGCCGGGGAAATGGCCAAAGTACAGGATTTTCTAGGCCTCACGCGTGTTGTGACTGAGAAGCATTTCTATTTCAATAAGACCAAGGGGTTCCCTTGCCTCAAGAAGCCAGAAGACAGCGGCGCCCCCAGGTGCTTAGGCAAGAGCAAAGGTCGGACTCATCCTCGTATTGACCCGGATGTGATCCACAGACTGCGGAAATTCTACAAGCCCTTCAACGTGATGTTTTACCAAATGACTGGTCAAGATTTCCAGTGGGAGCAGGAAGAGGTTGACAAATAAGGCTAGAGATGTGAGGGAAAGCTAGGGAGCAGCTGAGGAGACCCCTTACCTGAGTCCCAAATCCCCAGGGTCGCAGCCTCAGCCTTGTTGGAGTGTCACTTAGGTCTCCCCCATCTTCCAGCTGGGATCGCTTCCCTACAGAGCAGCCAGGCCTGCCTGGGCAGCAGCATCTGGTTGACCAGATGGCCACCAGGATCTACTGCTAATTCTTGTCTTCTACAGGTGAATAGAGTCTGAAGACAGGATTGAATAGCTGTCCAGGTCAGAGACAGTGCCATGAATATTTGTTTAAGTGAAACAAAGAAAGGCAGGTCTATTTTTGGGGCTCTCACTTTGCTTTGGGAAGCCTGAGTTCTAGCCCTGTGTCTGGCCCAGGCCTTGCTGTATGAACCCTGCTCTGGAATCTCTCTGAAATGCTAATTGTGGCTGAGTGCTCCAGGACTCCTAGGGAAGGGGCCTCGGCCAAGGTGTCTCTGGCCTTCCTGAAAGATCTCATTCCACAACCCTGTGACTTCCTCCCTCCACACCTTACAAAGGGAGGGGCATGCACATTCCTTACCCAAAAACGCTGACTCCCCTGGAAACCTTCCTTCTAAGAGTCCTCCAAGGCGGGCTGGGTCTCTCTCTTCATGAGCACCCAGGGCGCTGGAGCTCAGCTCCTGCCCTCGTGTTAGATTCAGCCCCTGGACTGCTCTTCTAGCAGCGAAGCTCAGAGCCCTGAGCTTGGTAGAGGTGAATGCCATCTCTGGGAGCGAAAAAAGACAGCCAGTCCTCTGGGGGGGAGGTCTCCACACCTACAGACCCTCTCCCCAAGCACCCTGGTTCTGAAACATGCTTTTGGGGTGGGCTCTGTCCCTCAGGGTCCCCAGAAGGGCAAGGACCAGAAAGTTGGCATGTCTTATGTTCTGAATAACCCTTAGCCACACAGTGAACAGGGTACCAGTCACCATCGTCTATTTGCCCCACCATCTGCCCTCATGGTCATCTCCTGCTTCATTTGCTCTGTTCACAGACAGCACATTTTGGGGAGTGACAAGAGGGCTGACTCCACTTGCCACATCGGTTTATGGGGTGGGGGGAGCAAGGGCTGTCTGGGACACCCCCCTTCGAGGGCTACTGATTAAAGTATCCCTTCCCATTAGTCGTGTTTGATTAAAACGCAGCATTCGACATAAAGCCCTGTTCACAGGTCTCCCAGTCCAGGAACTGTTCTAGTAAAATTGGAAATGTGTGCGTGGGGGAGCTAACTCTGTTCAGCTGTTACTAAACTGTCATTTCTCCGGCTAAATGAAAACTGTGTTGTTATAAAGCTTAATGCAACCTAATCAATGGGTTTTGATGGCGTGTTTCTGTTGATCACCTCCAACCCCACCCCTACTCTCGGATTCTGGGGGTTTCCCTTCTCTGGAATGACCAGAAGGACCTGGATTAGATCTCCCAGGGGTTCTGTCCTGTAAGAAGCACCATTTTCTCATTCTCAACTGGTCCTGGCGAGGAATGGACTAGTGTGCTCAATTGAGGAACAACCTTACAAATCACTGTTTTTCCAGATAAGAGAGTGGTTATTGAGCTGAAGGCACCATATTATGCCTTTACTACCAAAATAAAAGAATACCTAGCCCTGGCTAGTTGGCTCAGTTGGTTGGAGCATTGTCCATACACCAAAATATTGCAAGTTCATTGCAGGTTCGATTCCCAATCAGGGTACATACCCAGTTTGTGGGTTTAATCCCCAGTCAGGGTGTGTACAGGAGGCAACCAAACAATGTTTCTCTCTCACATCTCTCTCTCTCTCTCTCTTCTCTCTCTCTCTCTCTCTCTCTCTTCCCCCCTTCCACTCTCTCTGAAAAAATCAACAATAATAAAAACATATCCCTGGGTGAGCATTAAAAAATAGATAGACAGATAGATAGAAACACACCTATTTCAAGAAAGAAAATGCATAAATGTGTGCTTGCTCAGAAGAGTGTATGGTCAGCTGCTGATTTGGGGCCCTGTTTTATAGGAAGAGCAAGGACCGATTCCAGTTACACATCAGAGCCAGCTGTGGGTTTTTTTAAGCTACAGCTTCCTGAGTCCCATTTCACATTTCTTGAGTCAGAATCTCCAGGTGGGGCCCAAGCATCTGTCCTTTCAAAGATATTCTTACGGTCCTGGCCAGTGTGGCTCAGTTCACTGGCACATCCTCCCATACAGGAAAGGGTCAAGGGCTTGGTTCCTGGTCAGGGCACAAACCTAGGTTGCAGGTTTGAGCTCCTGGTTGGGGCATGTACAAGAGGCAACCAATCAATGTTTCTCTTGCACATCAATGTTTCTCTCTCCCCCTTCCTCTCTCTCTAAAAACATATAAATAAACATGTCCTTGGGTGATGATTAAAAATAATAATTATATATATATATATTATGGAAGCTGGGATTAAGAGCAAAGGAGGGAAGTCTTACGTGTGTATGTCTTTGCCCTCCCGTCCTCCTTCCCACCCTCCCTGTACGCTTTTGTGAGGGTACTTCCAAGAGAAGTGGTCCCCAAGGGCTTGCTTTGGGGAATATGGTCCCTTTTGGGGGGAAGTCTAATGAGGACCAGGTAAGGAATGAATGTATGACTTAGAAGGTCAAAGGAGCACCTGCTTGTAGGGAAGCTTTCCTGTGACTTTCTACCAGCTAAGAGTGACCATTTCTCTAACCTCCCCCAGCTCTTCTGTCCTGAGGGGACACATGTTGACTCGGCCCCTCGATCACACCTCCTCTTCACTCCCAGTCAACCTGGCTGTCTGCGTGGCCCCCTGAACTCAGAGCGTCCAGACCTTCTGTGCTGCTTAAAAAGGAACCCAGTCTGGTGTCCTCACATACATGACCAGCTAATCCATTGTTAGTCTGGCTAGCTGATGGTTACAGTCATTCTCACCTGGGAGATAACAGTGGGGAACCTCTTAGAGCCTTTACACCCTCTGGCATTGAACAGGAGGCTAATATTCTCTGGAGAAACAGGGCAGAGGCCGAAGCCTCACAGCTTAAGTGTTTTTATTTGAAGGGTCATTGATGACATGGTTGGAAGCTGTGGTTCTGGAAAGAAGTGCGAACTTGAGATGCTTCAGTTCCATTTCTGCAGTGTCTGCCCCAGCTCCATCCCCAGACGCTGGGAGTGAGCCACACAGCAGCCGCGTTCCGCAGTGGGGAAACTTGACAAAGGAATTACTTCCTATCCAGAAAAGCTAAGTCAACCTGCTCAAATGGAGGCAGGTTAATAACACTTCCACCCTATTTAAACTCGAGCAATGCGACTCAAGGGAGATTGAATTTTGTATTTGATTTCAATTAGCAAAGCATAAATTATATTTAATTTTCTATTGCCCTCCCTTCCCTGGAATGATGACTCAGAGCTCGGGAAAGCCTGCTGCTGAGACAAGAAAAGGAGAGCCATGCTTCTGGTGGTGCTGCCGCCTTTGACCCACACTCCTCTCCTTCGCCCTGTCATTCTGTACCTGAAAGGTATGGTAGCCTTGGCCTTGGCACTAGCCCTACCAGCTCTAAATACAGAACAATGACAGCAAAACCATTCAGCAACCCCTTTTACCTTTGGGCTTGAGAGCTAGGCATGGCTATTCCCTAGAACTCCGAGCAACCTTTGGGAGCCTCGCAGATTGAATTTCAGGTTGAGGAGCGTGGCCTGCCCCATTCCATGGTACTAGGGCTCCTGGTCTGAGCCGCACTTCTTTAAGACCTCAGCTCCTCGGCTCTTCCAGGTGCATGTCTTTTCTGCCCCTCCCGTTTGCCCACCCGCAATCTCCTTATTCCCTAAAGAAGGTGTCTGCCTCGCAGCAGTCAGAAGAACGGTAGCTGGTTTGAGCCTGGCCTTATCTATGTCATGGACAAGCAGCATTGTCCACCTGAACCTTAGTTTCCATATCTCTAACATGGACTTATTTAGTCCCTACTGGCCAATCACCAGAGTTCCTGTGATGACCAAAATGATGGGAAGGTATTTTTAAACCTGAAGTGCTTCATTGACATAGTGGAGAATAATGCTGACGATTGTCATGAAGAAGATGAAGGAGGAGGAGACGGGAGGTGGATCCTCATACTTCTTCCAGAACAACATGCCTCTGTAGCATTTCAAGGGTATATCTTTACTCAGACTGGACAATATGATGATGTTAAGAGAAAATGATTTTACCCAAAGCTAAGGTCAGAAAACAGCCCTCTATGAACAGCACAGAGCTGGCTGGATTTCAGGCATTCAAATACAATACCTTTTCCCCCACCGGGTCCGGACCCCCTACTCCACCTCCCCACAACACACACGTTCTCATCACAGCAGCCTTTCCCTGCCCCACACTCAAGGTTCTTTTGGATACAACCAGGCACCAAGGCTTGTTCACACAGGGCGAGACAGGTCTTCTTGAGATGGAAATGGGGTGACGTTTTCAAGCTTTTGGGCTTCAAATGCTAAGCCTGGGGGCCATGACTCCTCAACTTTTCCATGACGACACAGAGGGCTGAGAGCCAGGGCAGGTGCTGGGAGTGGGGCTCACATGTTTCTGGAAATAAAGTGGGACAGGCAATTCCTCAGATTCTTTAGCACATTGGGGTGGGAGAGAGGAGTTCTTACGAGTACTGGCTTCTCATGGGTGTGAGGATGTGTCATTTCCAGGTGTAGGAGATACATAAAACCACTCTGACATTGTGAGACTATATGGCAAGGTAATGAGTTCATCATGTCATTGAGGAGAAAACGCAGGCCAAGAACAGGTGTGGAGTGTGTTTCCATGGATGAAGGTGGCAGGAATGTCCCTGGACACAGGCCAATCCCATTACTCTAGGGTCAATCATGTTTCACTGAGACTTTCATTCCACAAATATGTGTAGAGGGACCAAGTGGCAATTGGAAGAGGTATGGGAGTGGGCAAAGCTGGGTTGCCGGACGGGGCTCCCAGCCCAATGGGGAAGATGGATATGAGAGAAGTGCATGCAGTAAAGGCTGACACTGTTGTGAGAGAGATGCACAGGGTGCTATGGAAGCATGAACCTGGCGGGGGAGGGCGGGGGTCAGGGTAAAAGGACACCAAGAACTTGCATCATTAAAGACCACAGTCATCAGAATTTGCCTCATCCCAACTCATAAGACTGCCCTTATGCTCCAGAGGGAGACTAAAGCACGGATAAATACTATCAAAATAAAAGATAAATACTATCAAAGATAAATACTAAAAGGGATAAATACTATCAAAATAAAAGACAGCCCGGCTGGCGTGGCTCAGGGGTTGAATGTCGGCATAGGAACCAGGAGGTCATGGTTTGATTTCTGGTCCAGGCACATGCCGGGGTTGCGGGCTCAATCCCCAGTGTGGGGTGTGCAGGAGGCAGCAGATACGAGATTCTCTTTCATCATTGATGTTTCTGTCTCCATCTCCCTCTCCCTTTCTCTCTGAAATCAATAAAATTATATTAAATAAGATGATAGATAGATAGATAGATAGATAGATGATAGATAGATAGATAGATAGATAGATAGATAGATAGATAGATAGAAATACAAGATTGGGTCATTAAGAAGGCAGGCTGTTAGGAGGAGACCTGGGGGAGAGAAAGAGAAGTGTGTGTGGGGAACATGGCCATCAAGGGTAACCTTCTCCCTAAAGGGAAGCTGTGTCCTCTTTCTGTAAGTGACCATGGCCAAGCCACTGACAGGGGCCACAAGTCCTCCCAAGGCCGTCCCTACCCCCACCTGTAGCTTCCTTGTAACTGTCTGAGGCCAAGTCAGGATGACCCTCTTCCCATAGCTCTCAGCTACTTGCTGGCTCATATATCAAGAAGGGAAGCAGACCAGTAACATCCAACTTCTCCAAAATGTGCTAAGCTCAGTGATAGTGAAAATGAAAATGTCCGGGCACACTTACAAGTCTTAAGTTAGGTTACAGGGTAATGCAGAGGTGTCCTGTAGGTCAGGGACGACCCACAAGTCTTACCCCCATGTTCATAGGCGGGACTGTGATGTTTGGGAATGTAGGGATGTTCCAAAGCTCCGCAGCAGCGCTCTGCCTGAAGTAAAAGGCAGCACAGGGGGGCATGTGTGCCAGCCTGCCCTGAGGAGCAGCAGCCAACGGCTCACAGGGACTCTCATGATCTCCTCTGAGCTCAGGGGAGATCTGCTTGAATA